AATTATACTGAACCAGTCAACAACTAATTATCTATAAGTTCTTACTGATTGAAAACATTGGAAGCGTTTCTCAGTTTTGCTCTAATTCACCTGTAAAATTTCGAAAGCAAAATACCCTTCAGCAGTTACTTCGCTTTCGAATCCTCTACCATAAAATCTGTTGAAAATAACGGTAATCAAATTGTCAAAAAATATCGGTATAACTGTGAAATTCATGTCCTGATATTTCCGAAAATCAAACGAATCTTTTGAATCAAAAGTATTCGAGATAGTTTGCGGGGGCTGAAAGGCGGTGTGTACTCTAATTCCACCATGAAAATCTTCTGTATGCACAAAAATTACGAGACAGCACTAAAAATAAGAAATCGTAGAACATTTTAATGTCAAGTTTTTATATTTTAGCGTCTTAAAAATAACGACGACATCAATAAATCTATTGATGTACGTTTTCTAAAAAAACTTCCCTTCTGATTTATTTTGAAGCAGAAGTTTGTCATTCTTCAAATGTTTCAGAAGGTCGTAGTTGTGGTTGTGAGTCGATTAGATAACTCTACCGATGAGTATGCTCGGAACGAAAATCTTCTGAGTTCGTAAAAAGGGACGAAGTACGCGTGGTCTTCAAGTGCTGAAATTAGGAATCGCCTACATGGAATGGGAGTGCGAACGCAGTTGCGCTTTTTGGATGCTCAAATGACCTTCGCAGTCCATCAGCAGCGCTTCTTGACACGGAAAAGTTATCTGCGTTCCGAGGCGATAAATGTCGAAATGCAAATTAAGAATTAGGGAGCGAGTGATGTTTGCAGCGCAAATCTGACCCAGCGCTCGGCCATGACCCACTGGTCACCTCCGGTCTATCGCTTCTTTTCTTTGCGTGAAGAAGTGAGGAAAAGCCAGCTCTTGATCTCAAAAATATAGAAGACGGAATTCAAATACAAGTAACATCCTCTGTGAAGAACTATACAAAAAAATATATTTGATACCTATCGACTAGGAGCAGCAAAAGTCAAAATAACTTAAATACAAAATTTAACCAAGATTAGAAGAAAACAGAAATAAATTTCAAGGAAAAAAGCTTAGAAAAAAAGATGCGCAAAGATGCCTTAACATACGTTTACGTGAAAATAACAAAAATAAATATTTGTCAAAGTTGTTAATTTTTTATAATTCTTGCCTTTATATAACAAAACATTTACAAATGATCATTAGAATAAAATAGGAAGTTTCCTTAACATACGATATCTAGCCATTACAAAGAACGGAATTTATCTCGAAAACATGAATACCCTCTCTTTGAATTCACAGGTAGAACTTCAGTAGATACATTTCAGGTTCTACCGTGCACCGGGGATTGGAATTTTGGAATTGTAAATATTAAAAAAATATTTACATCTCGTATATAACTTCAATTTTGTAAAATGGAAATTATTCGTCATTTATTTCAAAACACAATCAATACACCTTGACTTTCCTGGAACTTATAATCCAATATACAGGGTAAGATTTTTATCTTGAGACAACTAAATATCTTCAAACCTAAAAATCGTATAAATGAATGTTTCGAATAAAATTTGTTTGTCTCAGAGGGGCTATTGGATGATACCGACCTGCCACCTCCCTGGGGGTGGGGCAACTTGTGAGTATCAAAAGGTAACCTCTATTTTTTATTGTGAATTCGGATTCTTTGCAAAAAAAATCGTAGATTTTGTTTGAAACATTTTCTTTGTTTTCCTGTAGATGGCGCTTGTAATCGTAGAAAACACAATTTTTCGCAATTCTGGTGAAATTGCACCAGGGGGTGAAAAAACATGATGTTTTTAAGAATCTTATTTATTGATAAGAGTGAGCACCCCCTGCCTCTGATAGAGAGCGAGATTTAAATAATGCCGAGTTTTTCAGCTCTTGTTGAAATGATTATTTAAATCAAGCACCCCGACGGTGAGAGGCGAGGGGACTCGCCTAAAACAAACACCCCGCTGGGGATTACAAGCACCCCCGACGTTATAGCAATTGAAATTTGTTCGATTTGAAATTTAAAAGTTACCCCCCTCTCGCTCTCTATCAGAGGTTGGTATACCCAAGTTGGCGGGTTCAGACCCGATCAAATCCTTCGTACGCATTCCTTCGGAGGGGAAGTAAAGCCGGCTGTCTCATGTTAGTAGACTTATGTAAGTTAGTAAACTTATGTTAGTAGACTTACTTGCATGTAAAAGTTTTAAAGTTTGTAAGTTATTTTTAGAGATTTTAATAAAAATTGGACCTTTAACATATTTATAAGAATGCATCGGAGATAGGTCACACATATTTTATTACACATTAAAACATTTTAACAGTATTTTTATTCATTTACTTGAATTTCGCTATATTTGCATTTCAAGCCAGGAGACTGCTGGCGAAGAACCTTTTAGTATTAGTTCCCCTTTAAAGCACTCTAATTACCTAATCTATGTGGCGGTGATATATATTATGACACTATTTATCGTTTTAATTTATCAAATAAGCATCGAATTTCGTCACTCACTTAACCCAATTAGTTCTGGAAATTTCATAAAATCATTGAAATGAAAAAGTTTTCAAAAATGTAGAAAAATGTTTTGAGGTAACGTGGATGTATATTCACTCCGGAAATTCTCAAATAACATATTCTATGTTTTCAATTATGTAAGCATTTTCTATTATTTTTTATTCCGGTATTTCTTAATATGTATACCGGACGTTTGCATTTGTAATGAAAAATGTTTGAAGTTGAAAAATGTATGAAGGATTGGAATCAGATAGTGAATGTATCTTCAACCCGCTCATCTCTCTTACATTCAAATATAAAATTTGAAATCTCGAATTCACTCTTGGTAAATTTCAAAGTATAAATGTAGTTATAAGCACAAATATAGTTACAGTTTCTAACTTGATACACTAGTTCTGCGACTGATACTAGTTTGTATATTTTTGCAACCATCAATTAAACTATAATAGTGAGACACAATCGTGAAGTTCACGCAATTGCCTTACACATTACTGATTATTAGAGGGAAGTTATTTGTTTCAGATATAATAATAACTCAGAAAAAAGTCATTTTTATGTAGGATTACAGGATATTAAAGCTCGTTTTTCCAAGTAAAATGTGTCCGAAATTACGAGCCAAAATATTAAATTTCTACCAATTGAAACATAAACAATGGGGCTTTCTTCATCACCATTTTATAATATTGTCTTTACCAGAGTTCTCGGCCTTAATGTGTACCTTTTGAGCCTCTTTTCGTTTTGAAATTATACGAGTATTGCGCTCTCTCATCTTACGGTGAATAAACTAAAGTACACAATTTATAGTTTGAGTTTTATTCAAAAATTATAATTTAAATGTATTTATATTACAAACAGTAATATTCATTGGTTGATGGGGCAATATGATTTATCTAATTTGCTTATCAGGTCCATATTACAAAAAAATATTTTGCGTTCACTGCAGATAAAATTTCTCTCACAGATACTTTTATTCTTGCATTTATTTTGAATTAATTCACTGATAGCAACAAGAGATATCAGCAGTATTTAAGGCATTAAAGCGCGAACCGAACACACAGTTTTCAAGACGTTCATGTATAATTTCAACGAATAAAACTTCACTAAAATTAGTCAAATGAAAACGAGAAATCGTCTACTAAGAATCAGAAAGCGTTGTTGTATTGAAAACTTTTCTATCAACCTTTTTTTTGCATTAAATAAATATTTTCATTCTCTCATTATTTTGGTTAATTTTCCATATTCTAACAGGATTAAAACACACAAAGTTGTTGTGTCCGGAACATGCCGTTTTTCTCTTCACCATGCTTCACAATGAGCTTAGTAACCACTATGTTCCAGAAATATCCAGTTTCAATGTGATCACGATGGCTGATAGTATTTGGATATTCGTGGGTTTTTTGTTTTCGAGATCTGGTGTATTTGTTGGTACGTTTCTTTACATCGCAAACTCTAAATATATTCTAAAAAAATTAAGAAAACTTGTCAGTTAAAGCATTGTAACATGCATTCGTATTGTTGATATTTTTTAAAATTTTAAACTTTTGAAGCGTTTTTTAGTTTTAGTAAATATAATTAAAAGTTATAAAAGAAAGAAGGTTTAATACGGGAAAACTAAAATCGGATTAATTCTGGTTTCCGTACGTAAATTATTGTCATTTGTCAGGGAGGCATGTAACTCAATGATGGTGTTGGTAACATCATCGTTGCACTTGTACGAGGTTCTGTGTTTTCGTAATGAGGAACACGGCAGCTTTTGCTTGAATGACGCTATTCTGGTCTATCGAAGTTGGCTGCGAAGAACAAAGACAGCGGGGAAAGAAAAAAAAAATAAAAACAAAGCACAATTTTATTTAAATTCGAAAAACTCATATTGAATGTAAACTACGCAAGTCTTATGATTTATTGCAATAATTAAATACAGACATATGAACAACCATGGTAAGTCTCCCTCTCTTTCAGAATATTGCATCGAGGAAGATATAGCTCAGATCTTTACCTGAGTCTACGCTGCAACTTCACAGGTCTACAATAAGCCAATGTCAAAAAAATAGAGTTCACTGGCCAGTCAAATCGAATTAATTGAGGCGCTCAGGTTAAAAACGGCAGATCCCAACCGACCTCGCATTTTCGATTAGAAATATGCCGATAAACTATCATACACCTATCATCTTCTGAACAATCAAATTAATTGAGATATGACAAAATTACCAAGTTCCACCTTCAAAACTTTGTCCATAGTGTGAGTGAACGTGAACGAAAACGGAAAAAGTCGTTTTTCTCAAAAGGAACTTGGGTTGAGATGTGCGGTTATTATTCTGAGCGCCTCAATTACCAGCTTAATGGCTGCAAGTGCCAAAAGACGTAACGTTGCTTTTGTGTGAGGATGAAGGAGTTTCGGGCGGCCTCTGCCGGGGGCCTTGGCGTTCGCGGCGGCGGCGGCGGCGGCGGCGGCGGCGGCGGCGGCGGCGGCGGCGAAGGCGGCGGCGGCGCTCCCGCCAGTGTGTCGTCGGCTGCAGATCGCAGCGCCGCCCGGCCGCTGCCATGATGGTGTGGGCGGCGCTGGCGACGCTGCTGTGCTGCGCGGCGCTGGGCGCGGGCGCGGGCGACGGAGCCGGCCTGCTGGTGCTGAAATGCTGCGCCGAGGACGAGGTCGTCGACGTGGCCGAGGAGAAGTGTCTGAAGCAACCGGAAGAGGCCACGAACCGATCGCGCTCGCCCTTCTGGCTGCCCGAGTGGCTGCGTGCGGAGCCGGGCCTCGAGGTGGAGTTCGACGGCCTCGGCTGGCTGCACCGCTGGCAGAGGGAGGGGTACGGGGCGCCCGCGCCGCGGGCGTGGCTGGGCGCGGAGGAGCCGCTGGGGCGCCGCCTGCTCGCCGTGGACGCGGACGCGCGCCGCTTCGTGCTGCAGCCCTTCGGCCATGTCGATGAGCGCACGGTGGCCGGCCAACAGGTGGGCGAGTCTTTCATAATTAAACCTGCTCTGGGATCGATTTCGCAAATTGATATAATCGCGATATCGATACGAAAAGTACAGGTAGCGATGTAATGTTGAAACTACTGCATTACTGGATTATCTGTTACGATATGTTTTTGCAATTTATATCAGTATCGACTACCGAAATCATGGCTCTAATCGTTATTGTCATTGACTCATCTAAGATTAGGGAGTTTTGCCTCAGCGAGCAGCAATCCACTGCAACCTCGATCTTCTGCGCGTGCGCAGGTGCACAAAGGTGATGCGAAACTTGAACTGCTCATGCGCAGAATGTCGATAGGGCTGTCGATTACTTTAACGTTTGAGAGTGCAAAACCGCCCTAATAAACATAATTTTCAAAACAGTGGAGCCAGCGATTCGCCGAAGATATGCATGTGGTGCAATGTCGCATCCGTAGATGTGCTTCGACGTGACGCTGGACCCGCGCCGCCCGTTCGTGGTCGCCACGTGGCTGGACAGCGTGGCGCTGAACAAGTGCTGCGGGAGGGGTGCGCGACTCAGCGGGCGCCTGCAGTGCCGACCGCCAGCGGTGCCGCGCCAGCCCGACCGCTTCCCCGACGTGGACTTCCTGCGGCCGCTCAACAGCAGTCCGTGGGTGCCCGGGCACTTCAGGGAGGCGGTGCCGGCGGCCGACGTCTACTACGACATGCTGCGGGAGATGCCGGGCGCCGAGGGGACGCTAGTGGACGCTGACGACCCCTCCGCCTGGCACTTGCTGTTCCCCCGGCCGCACGAGCAGTGGGCAGAGGCCGTGTGGGTGCGCACAGGTAGGGGAGCAAATTGGTTTCAAAACGTTGGGTCTTATCTCTTATGGGAACCAATCTGATCTCACGTCGAGAGATCGGTGAATGAAAGCGAAGAATTGTGTCGGGAACGAGGACGTTGTTTCGAAGTTCGAACGAGAATAGTGCATTTTGTTTAATGAAGAAAATGTCCTGTCAGAACGGCAATTTTGGAAAAAATGCGTTAGAATATATGAATGGGATTGGCACGAGCATAGTTTACGTTTCTCAGTAAAGGAGAACACCAGAGCTTTGTTATGAAATCCAACAGGCGTAGCAAAGGAAATGTCAAGTGTGACTTAGAAGAGTTAGGCAAAAATTCATATTAATTAATGATGTAATATTTAATTCTTACGGTGTTTGAACTTCAACTTAATTTTACTGAATGATCCTTAGTTACAAACTGGTGATTGTGTTACAGTATGCACATTAAGGGTGTAAAGATTATTGAAGCGTAACTTAAACATTTTCGTTCTCAACATAACAATATATTGAATGAAATACGTAAATATTTGAAAAAAAAGTAACAACGAACAAAGTATATCAAAAACCAATGGCAAGTTTAGGAAATGGTCTCCTTATTGGTAGGCACCAAACAAAAGCAGGTTTAATGTTGATAGTCTCCGACTGTTTCAAATGCTCATACTTTATACTTTTTTTAGCAATTAATTTGACATTCCGACTCTTATTGGTTCCGACTCTGGTCGTTTTCAAAGAATACTTACATAAAAATAATTACAATGAAATAAATTAAAAAAACATAAATAGTACAAAATTTTTAAAATGACGTTCGAAAATTAAACAAAAGTTTATAAAACAAAGTAATAAAAATATGACTCATCCTATGCTGAATTTATTTTAACCTGAAAATGAATAGAACTGCGTATTTTGGGTTTGCATTATTTCTGTTTTTTGGCTCATTATTCCCTTCGGCGAAAATTTGTTTGTAGATAAAACTAAATTACCCCCTCGTGTCTTCTTTTGAATTAATAGATCGCTAATAACCCAAGAGGTTGAATCGACCTAAAAATAAACATATTATCTATGTTTTTAATTGAATGAATATATTTGAATTAATTTGCTTTTCCTTGTTTATTCCTTTGAACACTGTATAAGGTATTTCAAAGGAATGATTATACATACAAAGGTAAATTATTCCCAGAATTGCGTATCTAGATGGAGCCTTGAAATTGCCGTGATGTTTCGTGGTTCTCGATTCTCTGAAACTGGACCCCGCTCAAATAAATTGTACTTTAAACATGGGAGGTTGCTGAATCACAAGTCACTTAAGTCATTCTCTTTCACTTCCCATTTGTCATTGTTTTGAGCTTGTGGGACCATTTTTTTGTATACTATGGTTTCTGATCAGTTGAATACGCAATGTTTTAGATGCAATTTTTAGTTTTTTTTCTGTTTTATGGCGTGTTATTGCATATTATACTGCACAGTAATACCTAGTTTTCCAGAGTGATGAATAAAGATTGTAATAAAATGTTTTCTTTTCTTTAAGGAGTTGTTCTAAGGAAATCCGTGCTCGAACGAAGAAATATTAGTTTTGTAGATATTACAGAATTATCCTAATTTATAATGTGAAGTTTTAACTGAGTTTTTAAGGTTTTAGTGTTTTTATGGCGTGCATAACTGCATAGTAACGACTTGTTTTTGAGAGTAATAAGGAGCCATAGTAATAACATGTTTTCTTTGCGCTACGGGCTCGTTCAGAGGGGATCCGTGTTCGGGCGGACTTCAAATGATTCTAGGGGCAGTCGTGGTGGCATTGTATCCAACTGCGGCAGACACGTGCATCTAAACTATTTCACAGCTTCATTTTCATTGTACCATGATCAAAGAGCCCATTACTGATGTTTTCTAGTTAAATTTTGTTGCACGGAGATCACATTCCCATGACAACTGTTCTCCATAACTCGATTTTCAATTTCAATTTTCACGTTCTGTTATATATTCATCCATGGTCTAGATTACGAATATAAATGTTCTCTCGGGTTAATTAAATTAGATGATTTGACAACAATCGGAGGTGGAATTTCGCAGATTTGTTGCTAATTTTAATAATATTGCTGTCGTGATTGATTGAAAAGTTTTATTTTGTGTTCTTCTGAGCATCAATATTGAAGTGTTTCATTTTCAGTTCATGAAATAACTCTGTAAATAATTGACCATTGAGCACGATTTGTGTGAAATGAAAATGCAAGGAAGTTTCAAATCTTATGGTTTTGAATACAAAATTCGGGGATTGTACTTCGTTTGCGAAGATAACACCCTCCAGAAATTTTCCCGAAGAGTGCTACTTTTCCTGTCTATAGAATTTAACTGAAATATAATCAAATCTCCTCACCAGTGAAGGCGCATTTACGATGTACGTAAGCAAACTTGGATTTCTGATAGACTTCCGTTTTGAATTTTACGACTATAAATAGGCACTAAGCTTCCAAAACGAGGGTTGTACAAGATTGTGGTCCAGGTCCGGATTGAGGCTCGAGCTTCCTAAACGGAATGTTATTCCTTTGTTCAAATACACCGGGACTCGCGTGGCATATTAAAGTTTGTGTTGCTCTTGTTTGTTTTCGGTTCATTATTTCTTCGCTGTTGTGCGCAGACGGGGGCGTGGAGGGCGCCAGCCCCTTCTTCTGCTTGGACGCGACCGAGGCGGGCTCGGGGCTGCCGGCGCGCGTGCTGCTGGCGCGGGTGGCGCTCGTGAGCAAGTGCTGCCGGCGCGGCCAGCAGTTGGAGCCGCGCGAGATGGAGTGCCGGGTGCGGTCGCAGGCGGAGGTGGACGCGCGGCCTCAAGAGCTGCTGGCTCCCGCCGACCCCTCGGCCTACTGGCTGCCGCGCGCGCTGGCCGCCGAGGGCCGCGCGCTGCCCGTGTGGTACCGCCACAATTGGGACGAGTGGCCGCTGCGGCTGGTGTTCCCGGCGGAGCGCGCGCGCGTGACGCGCTTCCCCGACCGACCGCCAGTGGCGTGCGTGACGCTGCGCAGGCCCTCCGGCCGCGAGTACGTGGCGTGCGCCAGCGACTTCTGCTTCGAGGCGCTGGCCGGCGGGACGGGGCAGCGAGTGTTCGCCGTTGACGAGTTCGACGGAATCGAGGTCGTCACGGTGCACAAGTGCTGCCACCAGGGTCAGGTGCTGCACGTAGAACGAGGCGCTTTGGGGTCCTCCAAAATCCGCTGTCGCCCGGACGCCGCGGAAGACTGGTCCCCCGAGAACTCCTCGCTGGCAGACGAGCTCCTCCCCGAGCGCCTGTACGTGGGGCAGCCGCTCCAGGAGTGCCTGGCCCAGGCGCTGACGCTCGTAGACGAGAGGCCGGAGCGCGAGATGAAGAAGCTAGTGGGCGTGGGCTTCGAGGGGCACTTCGCTGTGCGCTTCTACTGCAAGGACCTCTTGCGCGACGGCGACGGCGGCTCCGTGCGGGACGTCCTGGCGTTTTGCGAGATGCCTCCCAACGCGGAGCTCTTCAGAAAGGTACGGCTGGAAATGGCAGTGCGCATGAAAATCCTCAATTGCTGATGAAATCTAGTCACTCAATTTGATAGACCACACATCTAAATTATCCCAACCTTTTGCTTGAATTGATGATTCCTACAGGCGCTTGAATTTTATTTAAGGCAGAAATAGAAGCAATATGGTCTGAAACGATACATATACATGCATATGGACCAAATCAAAATTCCGGCAGTATAAAATGACCAGAGTGCACAAAAACAACAACAAAAAGTATAATATAAAACGTTCTTAGTAGGATAACTTAACAAATAAATTAACATTTAAAAATGCACAACTATTGGCCTGGAAATATAACATCAAAACAAACATAAAAAGCTGTGTAGAGTTGCTTCGGGGTTTAGGTGCGTCCTGAGACACAATTGTAGGTCCGTGGCAGCAAAAGTTGTTAATATACCGATGCTCTGAGACAAAGTGTATAGAATGGGCGGTGTATGCAGGTGAGGTTGGTACACTTAGTCATGGCCGCCCTGGGCACAAATGTATGTCTGTGGAGGCGAAAGGATTAATATCCCGATGCCCCGAAACAGTGTATGGGAGTGGTGTGTGCAGGTGCGGCCACTGCACCTAGTCGTAATCGTCCTGGGACACAAATGCATGTCCGAGGCAGCGAAAGTGTCAATGTGTATGCCCTGAGGCAAAGTGTATGGAATGGGTGGTGTGTGCAGGTGCGGCCGCTGCAGGTAGTCATAATGCTTCCGGGACGCAAAATGCATGTCCGAGCCAGCGAAAGTGTTCAATGCCTATGCCCTGAGGCAAAGTGTATGATCCGGTGGGTTGGTCAGGTCCGGCCGCTGCAGGGTAGCACAAATGGTCCTGGACCAAATCATGTCCCGAGGCAGCGGAAATTGTCCAATGTTTGGCCCTGAGAGAAGTGTTAGATGGAGGTGTGTTGTGCAGCGGCGGCCCCGCTGCAGGTAGTCATAATCGTCCTGGACGCCAAATGCATGTCCGAGACAGCGAAAGTGTCAATTGCCTATGCCCTGAGCAAAGTGTATAATGGGTGGTGTGTGCAGGTGCGGCCGCTGCAGGTAGTCATAATCGTCCTGGACGCAAAGCATGTCCGAGCAGCGAAAGTGTCAATGCCTATGCCCTGAGGCAAAGTGTATGAAGTGGTGCGGTGTGTGCAGGTGCGGCCGCTGCAGCTAGTCATAAATCGTCCTGGGACACAAATGCATGTCCGAGGACAGCGAAAGTGTCAAGTCTATGCCCTGAGGCAAGTGTATGGAAGGGTGGTGTTGTGCAGGATGCGCCGCT